GGGGCTGTACTGTATATATTTGGGGGAAGTCCTTCGTAAGGGAGCTGACGTGGAGAAGTGGAGTTGGAGTCTGTGGGTCAGACTGGGTACAACTGTTCGTCAGATAGTACATACCTGATAGGTTCAGGTTTCTATCTAGGTAGCCAGAACGGATAGGTTCAGGGTCTGTGCGTTACCTTAAAGTGTTCCGTGGGAACCAATCTGTTGTATGTGTAGGATTGGGACTATACCAAGTTCCAGTATCCTATTTACCTGATCCTTTTATTTACCCTGTTTGTTTTTTCAATAAACCTTGTTCTCTTGTTTATTAAAATCCATTCCTGGTCTGGGTGACTTGGTAGAGCGAATGGTTGGTGGCAGCATAACTACAGGGTGGGATACTCCAGTAGGTCTGGGGTTGTTACACCCCCTGGTCTGAACAGGCTTGTTAGAAGGACAAAGGAATCGGGGTGAAGGATAATTCCACTTCTGCAGTCCTGATCTTTCTGGGGATGAATGAAATGGCAGCATGATAAATAGGAGACAGATTGTATCTAAGGCCTCCATCCCTGTTGAGTGGGGGATTTTCTATATGTACATGTATGGCCTCCCTGAATTTCCTGCCAAGGTCATGGGGACTTCTAGACTTGCTGCCCATTGGGCCCTTTATAGGTGTCTCCCAAAGAATAATCACTCCCAGGAAATACTGCAAGTTTCAAAGGGACAATGGTGATTGTGTCATAGGATAATGTTGGCAATGGGGCATTTTTGGGGCAAGTGAAAGATTATGCTAATACAGCAAGAACATCCCCTTCAAGGGAAGGCCTCTTATTTATCCTCTGAACAATTTAAAAATTATACTTGTCCAGTTTAGTGCTATGTCAGATAGGTGCTGCTTGTTATATTTGTTTAGTGCGGTGTCACTTGCCATTTAAAGAAGAAGAAGAACCAGGGAACGGGGTGTTATTAATGGTGTGGAGCAACCTGTGATTTCACTGAAAATTGTAACTATTTGAACTGTGGTGTGTACTCTTGCTCCCAAAATTGCCTGGGATAATTAAACATTCCTTGTGAACTACAACAGTAGTTTAACTGCCATAGAAACAGTTCTGCCATATTTTGAGGGCCTTGAAGCATCCCTTACCCCCTCACACAAAACACTTTAGATCTCCACCTTGTTTAGATCAACTGGGGAATGCTTAGGTGCATAAGAGTCATTATAACTACATTTATGTTTTTTTTTTTTTTGCTTTGTTACATGTTCTGAGAACAGCATAGCCAAACGTAGTATGTGAACACCATCGAAAGAGCAGTGACTTTGGGAGTGAGGAGGGCTTTTCATTTTCTGAGAACCCTGTCTTGTTTCAGGTCCAGAGACAATCCTAAGAATTTCAGAAAGTAGTGTGTTTCTTTTGTTACAAAGATGAGTATCCTTGTTGTTACCTTCCATGTTGTGAGAGCATTTGTGGGCTGCTCTAAGTAATAAGAAGGTGGTATTCATTTCTTTCTCCTTAATGGATTTTCCCTGGTGTGTGGGGGGAAATGGAAGAAATTAGGGTAGAATGTGTCTCTGTGTGTTCATAAGTGGAACACAGTCTCATTTGAATGTCCCATAAAAATGAAATTCAGAGTGATGGCATGCTAGAAACCACATTTGGAATTACTTCAAATTTGACTGTGACTTGTGCAGATCACAGGTGTGGGAACTGCATTCCTCAGTTGATCTAAGCAGGTGTAGATCAGAAACATGCCTTAATAACAAAGGCGATATGTCAGTTAGGTCTCACACTGCATTTTGAGAGCATGAAATAGGACTGTTGTTTCATTGTTGTCTTATGGTGCTTCCAGATTGCTGATGCTGACAACCAAAATATATTATACTGTATTTGTCTTCCTTAGTACAATTTCTGTGGTTATTTAAAAAAGTCAGAAGAAGCAGAAGCAGCAGCAGAAGGTTATGGAGAACTGGAGGGCTTAAGTGAAAGACCATCTGATACAGAACCCATCCTGCACGATAAAAGCTTTGTCAGGAAGCACTCCCGTTCTGTTATTCAGAATTGTACAACAATAGTGTTGTTTCAGAGTGAAATGGGGAATTAAAATGGGAAGCTTCTCTTTGGGATTACATATTTATCAGCCAGAACTCACAGATTAGGAATGCGGGCCTTTTTATTACAGCTGCACTCAAGGTTCACACTGGAATATGGATAAAGTAATTTTCACTTAGACCTACATTAAGATTCAACTTGGGAGGCTTTAAATGTACACTTGAAAATGTAGTTATTAAACTTGGCAATAAGTATGTGCTTTCAAATGCTTATTGTCTCCTTGTCACAAATTTTCAGTAACAAATGCAGATATAAGAGTGCTGTAGTGTTATGTGTGAAAGGCTCTTCAGATCTGTGGACTTAGATAGAACTTTTATTATATTATGAATGGCCAAAATCCTGTTGCTTAGTTTAGTAAATTGTACTAGAGTAGATCTATTAAATGTGTAGAGATTTAGTGAGTCAACTCCATAAATTCCATTGATTCAAAAGGGTCTACTCCAGAAGAACAAGGGGCAGATGTCTAAAAGCTGTCCATTGTTCTGGCTTTGTGTCCAACTGCCTGGCTCAAGGTAGCCAGCTCAATCATCCCTCCACTTTAAAACTGGTGCTGTTGAATGCCAAGTCTGTATCCAATAAGTCCCAGTTGATCTATGATCTTATCCTGGAGGAGGATGCAGACCTGGCTTGCATAACCGAAACCTGGATGGGCTGCAATGGGGGTAGTCCTCTGTCCTTTGCCTGTCCACCTGGTTATGCTGTACAACACCAGGATAGACCGGGGGTGGGGTGGGGAGTGGCCATTGTTTATAAAAACACTCTGGAGGTTGGTAGGCTTTCTGCCATGGTGACGCCTGGTCTGGAGGCCCTCCACGTGTCGTTCGGGGCCAGGGATGGCAAGGAAATTGCTGGATCTTGCTGGCATACTGTGCTCCACGTGATCCAGCAATTTCCTTACCAGAGTTGGTTCACTCCATCTCTGTTGGGTTCTCCAAGGCTACTGGTCTTGGGTGATTTCAACATCCATGCGGAGGCGGAAGTTTCTGGTCTGGCTTTTGGGTTCTTGGAAACCACGGCTTCCTTGGACATGTCCCAACATGTTAATGGCCACACCCACATGGGTGGTCATATGCTTGACTTGGTGTTCTCTTCTGAGCAGAGAGAGTGTGGTCCAATGGTGACTAACCTTGTGTCTGTCCCCTTGTCATGGTCTTTCAAAAGAGTATGAACCAGGGGTGCAAGCCACAAATCTGCAATGGCTCATGGTCTGTGAAGAACACATTACATTCTTCTTCAAGGTATCATCAAGTTACAAGGAGAGGGAAAAACCTGCTTCTTTTAAGTCACCTCACAACAAATTTCTTACTCTGCCCTTACTGGTATCCACTAACCATCTGTCATAAAAAAAAAACACCTGGGGTTGTAATTCTTTGCTCACTTACCTGGGAGCAAGGCCCACTGGAGTCAGTAGGATTTGCTTCTGAGTAAACATGCATCAGATTGCACTGTACATGATATGTGGAGAAAAACATCACCAAGATGAAAAGAGTATCTAACACGTACCCTTTCTAAGCCATGCTGCCAGTTTACAAGGGGGGAAAATGCCTGTTCAATTTCTTTGTTTGATTTCTGCATCTGGGAAACTTGCCAAAATGTTAAATGTTGTAAAAGCCAGAAATACTGTTTATTTCAAGATTTACTGATTTCAAGACCTTTTTTAAAAAAAGAAAATCGATGTTGTTTTAAAGAATAAGAAGTCACTTGCAGCGTTTACACTTAACACATTTGGCTGAAGTGAGGGCATGTCTATGCCTTGGCACTAGCTTGTTGCACTTGCTTCTGGTGGCCCATATGTCATACTGCTGCTACACAGCCTGAAGCATGTGTGATGGGTGGGGCTCCAGTACACCTTTTTAATGGTCTACATAGGCTCTGCCAACTGAAGGAAGCAGAGCAACTGGGGCCCTGAAGCAAAGGGATAAGTGGGGGAGCATTAGGAATTCAACAGAGGTATCTCTCACATCTGCTTCCTGGCATGGGCACCTAGTTTCCCTCCACTGGACCTCATTCACTTTCCTCTGCCAGACACACAGATTTTGGAAATCCAGAGTTGGCAGCCTTACTTCATTGTGAAAATGTAGATGTAAAAATTGTAAAGATTGACAGGAAATACTCTTCTTACCCCATATACTTTCTTGGCTCCTGCCTTTGCTGCAAACATGGAGAGGATACCTGTGCCGCTTCCAACATCCAACACAATCTTATCCTTAAACACGTGTTTATTATGATACATGGAGTTCCTGTATGTTAATGTGCGCACCTCATCCTTCAACATTTCCTGTGCCAGAAAAAGGTGTCACATATTTACTAAAATATGCAGTATTCATCTCATTTAGAGGTAAAATGCATACTTCAGCTGGCAAAATAATTGCTGGGAATTCATATATAGCACACTGTATATGACTGTTTAGGTTTTCCAGGACTCTTCTTCTGGCTGGATATTGCAGAGGTTAAGGTTTGGAAATTATCCTAGTTGGGTGCTGAAGCCACAAGATCTGTAGTTAGTTTACACTAAATTTCTTAAAGACTGCAAACAAGAAGGATCAACCACAGTGACATAAAGGCATCAGGTTTCACCTCCAGGAATATAAACCCAGTTTCTATAGACCAAGACTTGCTGGTCACTTATTGAACTTCAGTTGCCTTCAGCTGAAGCACAAGCTGCTCCTATCTAGCTGGGAGCAGAAGCACCAAGCAACATGCCAATCCTCATCAGAAAAGCTGGAAGTAAAGTTTAGGAGCCATACAGAGCAAATAATTGGAAATAAATTGAAATATTACAGAAATGCCATAAACATCCAGTCATTTATTCTTACAAGGAATCAAAATCTGACATATTGCAAATCCTAGAACTCTTCTCTGCTTATAACAGTAATTAAAACAAAAAAAAAATCAAAGTACTTTTCTTTTGTATTCACAAAGGCTTTCACAGCCAGGATCTAATGTTTGTTATGGCTTTTTCGGGCTCTTTGGCCAGGTCCTGAAGGTTGTTCTTCCTAACATTTTGCCAGTCTCTGTGGCCGGCATCTTCAGAGGACAGCAGTAGCACTCTGTGCTCTGGTGCAGTTTGTTTGGGAGTTGAGTATTTATAGCTGTGGGATCAGCTTTTGTCGTTTTTAGGAGATGAGTGATTATGGTGATCAATGTGTTTTTGTTTGAGTGCTGGTTGGGGTGTATTGTTGTGATAAGGAGGAGAGATTATCTGTCACTGTGATTAATAGGTGTCATTAGCTGGTCTTTTGTGTGTAGTGATCACCGGTCCTTGTGACTGGGTAGAGTTCGTTGACCTTTTGCAGGCTGTATTTTTCAGTGCTGGAAGCCAAGTTTTGTTGAGTTTTAAACTTCCTTTTTTGCTGGTGTTTGTGGATTTCAATGGCTTTCCTGTGCAGTCTAACATAATGATTGCTGGTGTTGTCCAGTATTTCAGGATTTTGAAATAGCATTTCATGTCCAGCTTGTTTTAGGGCATGTTCAGCTACTGCCTATTTTTCTGGTTGCTTTAGGCTGCAGTGTCTCTCATGTTCTTTGATTCTGGTGTGGATGTTGTGTTTTGTGGTTTGAATATATACCTGGCCACAACTGCAAAGTATCTGGTATACTCCTGCAGTGGTGAGGGGGACCTTTCTGTCCTTTGCTGACCATAACATTTGTTGTATTTTTGTGGTGGGTCTGAATACTGTTTGTAGGGTTTTTTTTTCAAAAGTTTCCCCATGCGGTCTGTGACCCCTTTGATGTATGGCAGAAATACCTTATTTGTGGGTGGCTGTTTTTCCTCTTCAGTTTGGTGTTGTTTTCTTGTTTTGATGGCTCTTTTGATTTCATTCTTGGAATAGCCATTTGCCTGTAGGGCCCAATTCAGGTGGTTGAGTTCAGTGCTGAGAAACTGAGCTTCACAGTTCCAATTTGCCCGGTCTACCAGTGTTTTGATTATGCCTCTTTTCTGTCGTGGGTGGTAGTTGGAGTTTTTGTGTAGAGCAATATTCTGAAAGGATTGCTCTATGCCATCCAATACACACAAACACGTAAAACAGAAATAGGTTCTGGGGTCTGGGGAAGTGGATTTGTCCATGAAATCTCCTATTAAAATGCAGTAGTTAGTCTGGTGTTCAGTTTGGTGTTGCTTTCTTCATCTGATGGCTCTTGTGATTTCATTTTGTGATTCCCCATGTGGATTCTGAAGATGCCGGCCACAGAGACTGGTGAAACATTAGGAAGAACAACCTTCAGAACACGACCAAAGAGCCCCAAAAAATCACAACAACCATACTTTTCTTTACTTTGCTTTTTCATAATCTCATAATAGTGCTGATCATATATGGGCTTTTTCTTATCTTCATTTCAAAGTTATATCAAGCCTTTAATTCTTGGAAGAGATATGACACTAAGTATGTTGAGGGTTCTATTGTATTACAACAGAAACACAGGTTGTGAAAATTTATTCTAAGATTCTGGATTAATGGAGATAATAGAAACAGTTAACACACCAGTATAATTACACTGACTTTCCTAATGCTATCTGGTGAGATAGAGCAAACTATTCCCTTCTTAATATTATGTCCATTTCATTAATGCAGGCTAGAAATGGGCAACAGGCAACTTTATTCCATGGGCATTACTACAGCCTCCCAGACAATAAGCCTTGCATTCCTTCTTAATACACGTAGACCATCTGAATTTTAAACTGGTTTTCATAAGCCATGAGAATTCCTTTCAGGCCAAGGATTTGCTCTTTATAAAGCACTATTACAGTTTGCCACTAAAAATTAGCAGTGTGCTTTATTGCCAAATTTTGGTGGAGTAGTGGTGCAGCTCACAGTGAGTTGTAGGGGTTGAAATGGTATGTGTGTTGGCAGGATTTTGTTTTTCATGGAAACACAAGGTCATTTCTAAGATCTAATTCAACATTATAAACTTTATAATTCTCATATATACACATGTTTTTACACATCTTACTTAGCATAGTAAATTGCAACCAGAGTAGGCCCATTGAGTCAGTAGAGATTTGGTGAGCCAGCTCCTTCATAAGTTCCACTGTTTTGGGGGCCTACAGTAGATATTATTTACTATGCTAAACAACAGGATTTCAGCCTATATATCATATCACTCTGTGACATTGATATATCACATTCTTGTGTATACCAGGTTGTTCATGTTGTAAAAATATTTTACAAAACTATTTACTCTTTTAACTGATTACCTCATGAATTCCGAAGTGAGCATATGAATCAAAATAATAATCCCTTGACGTCATCTCATCTGGATTCAAGAATTTTGCCATCTTTCCCCGGCCTGGGCAGCTTGATTGCAAAGGAACATGAATGATGGACTGAACAGGCTTTGGCATGGCAATAGGCTGAAGAGGTTGGGGAGGGCTGCTGCAAACCTAAAAAGGTATAAAAGCCATTTTTAGTGAAGCTGATAATCACAACATGGGGGGGGGGAGAAGGAAGCTTATTCAGCATTCGGAAACTTCTACAAGGAGCATTTCAAAACACTGGCCCTGACTTCAGCACCCTTCGCACCCATAGTCTGGTTCTGATATGTGGATGACACCTTTGCAATTTGGAGCCACGGTGAGGAAAAATTGGAAGAATTTCTGAACCATCTCAACAGCATCCACCCAAATATACAATTCACCATGGAAAAAGAAATAGAGGGCCAACTCCTGTTCTTAGATGTCATGGTCGTACACAAAACTGACTTGTGCTGGGACACAAGGTCTACAGAAAACCCACCCACACAGACTGGTACCTACACAAAAACTCCAGTCACCACCCACAGCAAAAAAGAGGCATAATCAAAACACTGGTAGACCGTGCAAATCGGAACTGTGAAGCTCAGTTTCTCAGCACTGAACTCAAGCATCTGAATTGGGCCCTATAGGCAGATGGTTACTCCAAAAATGACAGAAACAAAGCGTCTGGAAGTTGGAAATTAAAAACAGCACAGACTAGAAAGAAAAAAAAATCTCCTTAGGAGTATGAAGGCGTGGTGAAGGAAAAACAATTTGTTAAGGGGAAACTAGGAATTAAAGTCTTTTTTGGTAAAGAAGGATGTTTTCAATATTTCTGTCCAGAAAAAGTTATTAAGCAGAATGTGTACACCAGGAAACCAGTTTATGGTGTTTCAAAAATCCTGAACCCAGAATTAAACTGCTCACTAAATGGAGAAACTAGCAGGCAGGTTGTTATGGAGACAGGAATGTCAGAATCAAATGAGGCTGGATCAAGTCAGGAGATACAACATTGTTTCTATTAGAGATAGGAGTATTCGTATTCATGTATGAATATGAATATCCCTGCACAGGTGGAAATAACGAGGGTCTGGTCCCATGTGGCCAGACTGTCAACTCACGATTTTGCCACTGACGTGAACTCGTCAGACCTTCCTATCGTGCTGTTGTCCGCAGTCGATTAACCAGTCCTGGAAGGAGGCGGGATGACAAGCCTCTCTGCTAGGTCAGAGAGTGGCTAATCCACTGAGGATAACAGCATGATAGGAAGCCTCTGTGGAGCTGCTGGCAGTGGTCAAATTGTGAGTGGACCTTATTATTTCCACCTCTGTGGGGATATTTGTATTTGTATACAAATACAAATACCCCATCTCTATTATTATAAATACATAGTAGAACAATATATAGAGAGAGTTCAAATTCAACACAAAGTTGTGTGAGGTGTAAGAGATATGTGTTTGCAATTGTGTGTGTGTCACCCTGATGTGATACCTAAGGAAAATATTACCTCACAAAATTGTCCTGTACCTGTAGCCAATGTACATATCCAATATAAGAACTGGGAAGGGCAATGGAAGGTAGCTGCACATGATTATATCCTGACCCCATGCCTAATCAGAAATTATTTGGATAGGCATGTAGGAGGGGGTGCTTATAAGTACTGAACCTTTCCCAGAATAAAATTGAGCTTTTGTTGTTGTATAGTCATTTAGTCATGTCTGATTCTTCGTGACCCCATGGACCAGAGCACGCCAGGGCCTCTTGTCTTCTCAGGCCCTCCTGTCTTCCTAGCTCAAAAATTGAGCTGGGAAGCTGTAACTGCCACACTATTCTACATATTCCCCCAGGAAGTCAATGCAATTGCAAAATCTGTCCTGCAGCTTCTTAAGTCCCTGCAAACAAAATTCTTCCGACTGCTGGTGTAACCACTTATTTGCAACATTAGTTACCTCCAGAACACTCCCAAATCGTTGTCCCTTTAGGTGTTTTTTGAGTTTGGGGAACAGATAATAGAAGGAGCCAGGTTGGGAGATTAGGGTGGATGGGGCATCACTTATAAGCCTAAGGACGTCAGTTTTGTCATTGTTTCACCTGTAGTGTGTGATGAAGTGTTGCCATGCAACAGGATGACACCTTTGGAGAGCTTTCATCAACATTTTTCCTTGATGTTTTGCCTCAACTTCGTCAATAAAGCACAGTAATATTTTGCATTGATGGTTGAACCCTGTTGGAGATAGTCCACCGGCAGAACTCCCTTCTTATCCCCCCAAAAAACTGTTGCCATTTGCTTCTGCACCAACCTTTGCATTCGGAACTTCTTTGGCCTGGGAGACCCACTGTGCCTCCATTCCTTAGACTGTTCCTTTGTCTCGGAATCATAACAGTAGGTCCATGTCTCATCGCCAGTTACCAGTTTGCCCAGGATATCTGACTCATTTCTTGCAAAATGTTCCAAAACAGCCACCGATGACTCCATACATTTCCTCTTTTGTACAGTTGTCAAAAGTTTGGGGATCCATTTTGCTGCCAGCTTTCTCATTTCCAAGTTGTTGTGGATAATGGCACCAACTCTCTCACGTGATATTCTCAGATATATAGCAATACTTTTAGCTGATATTCGACGGTCCTCCATGATCATGTCATGGATGGCTTTCACATTTGCAGGCACAGAGACAGAAACATGCCTTCCACTGTGTTTCTCAGGTTCAACACTGAAATGGCCAGTTTTAAAATTGACAACCCAACGTTTAACTGTTGCATATGAAGGGCCACTGTCACCCATAGTTTGTGACATTTCATCATGGATCTGTTTTGCACCTTTCCCTTGGAGAAACAGGTCCTATAATTATGGTCCTATGCTCTTCCACATTGAACTTTTCTGGAGGTACTGCCATGCTCACTTTAGACCTGAACATGAAAGATAAGTTAAAATCATAGGTAGCTGATTTTTGCACCATTGAATACAGACAAATTGGCCAATACACCCTGCAATGTATAGCTTTTTAGCTCAAGTTTTTTTCTGGGAAAGGCTTATCAGCACGCCCTCATAAAGAATGTGTGTATGGCTATTTGATCTCAGAGGCAAATTCAACCCTTGGTGCAACATGAGACAGGAAATTAGGAGGAACCTCCTGATGAAAATGCTCTCATCCAAATAATTATCAAGCATGTGATTGGTCAACTAAGCAGACAGAGGGAGATGGTCATCTATACGCTTTTAAGGAGCAAACTAATGAAGCTAATTACTTTACACATGACAGTTTTAAGAACGGCAAAAAACAAAATAAGTTAAAAGGATGTTTCTGCTGTAGTAAAATTGCTCATATTTTGAAAGACTTTTCTGTTCCCAAGTATAATTTAAACAGAAATACATATTTTAAGTCTGAACCACAAAGGAAAAGGCAAGATATATGTAAACAAAGATAGAAATAAACCAAAAGACTTTAACAGAGAAAACCAAAATAGAAAAGGTTTTGTATGATATAAGTTGAACACAGTAGGAGAGAAATATCAAAGTATAGAGTTGTGCTACAAGAGACTAGGACATAGTAAAAAAACAGTATTGAATTTAGAGATACAGAATCTTGCCACAGGCATAAAAATAAAAGAGCATGACAAAATGGATAGATGTACGCTCTGTATTAAAGAGAAAGGAGTAAGACCTACATTTAAAAGTAGCAATATACAAAGAAGGAACAAAGTGCTTGATTTAATACACAGTGTGCTGCATGGACATTCCTTCAATGGGAGGAAACAAATATATTCTAAATTTTGTGGATGATTATTCAATACACTATTTATTAAAAGAGAAAAGCCTAACTTATGAGATGTTTAAAAATTATGGGGCAATGGTCAATAATCAATTTGAGAGCAAACCAAAGGCAATATTAACAGCCAATGGTGGTGAATATAATTCACAGTAAATGAAAAAATGTATTAAAGAGCAAGGAATGGTACATATGAAAACATTTGCTTACACTCCTGAACAAAATGGGGTAGCATAGAGAAAAAAATAAGATATATTTTAGAAATGACAAGGTGCATGTTGGCAGATGCTGAATTGCCAAATAAATTATGGAGTTAAACTGTGATGACAGCAACTTATATTCAAAATAGACTTCCAACTAAACCTAATAGCAAAATAGCTTATGAAATTTGGCATGGTAAAGTTCCTTCAGTGTGTGATTTACGAGTTTTTGGAAATGAAGCTTATGATTGTATACCCAAACAGAAAAAGCATAAGTTAGATTCCACAGCTGAACAAATCATATTGACTACTGCAATGCTCTCTGTATGGAGCTTCTTTTGGGACTGACCCAGAGACTACAGTGGGTCCAGAATGCAGCAGTCAGACTGGTGGTCAGTGCGAGAAAATTTGATTGCATCATTCAAGTTTTGGCCAGTCTCCACTGGTTACCTGTTGTGTCCTGGATCAAGTTCAAGGTTTTGGCATTTGGGGACTGAATTACCTGTTGGAGCATGTTTTCCTAGTCATCTGCCCAACCCACCAGATCAAAGGTCAGGCTCCTCTGGCTAGCCACCTCAAGAGAAGCCTGAAGGACATCTACCAGAGGTAGAGCCTTTTCTATGGTGGCACCAAGACTACGTAACCAGCTCCCAGTTCTGCCCCCCTCCCTGTATTTTTTAGTAGACCGTTGAAAACACTTTTTTACAGAGGCTTTCCAATCTGGCCCCGGTTGAGCGTTTTGCCTCCAGTTCCATTTATCTGTTATATTGGTGGCACTGGTTCTTTTTAAAATGCTCTTGCCACATTATTGCTTTTTGTGTTATATTTTAGTGTTCTGTTATGTAGTTTTGTTTTTAATCCTTTATAACAGGGATTCCCCACCCCTGGTCTGCTGCCCAGTACCAGTCTATGGGCTTGAGAGGACCAGTAGGAGAAAACATATCTCCCCCCTGCACGCACAGACACATGCACACCCATCCCACATAAACATGCTCCCCCACGCACAGATGCACTCCCCCCCATGACAGACACCCTGCCTCCCCCACTAACCCAGTCCATGGTGTCCAAGAGGTTGGAGACTGCTGTATAAACCACCCATAATATAGCTTTGGTACTAATGGGGTGGTATATAAATTGCAGTAATAAATAAATAAATAAATAAATAAATAAACCTCTGGTTAAA